TCGATGAGCTCAGCAAGGCGGTAGATGAGCTTACCACGGTCCTCCGCAGACATGGTACGCCACGGACCATCGAACGCCGCACGGGCAGCAGTCACAGCAGCGTCAATGTCGGCGGTGCCGCCTTCAGCGACATCAGCGATCTTCTCTTCTGTAGCGGGGTTGAACGTCTCGAACGTCTTGCCCTTGATGGACGGCACGAACTCACCGTTGATCAGCAGGTTGGTCTGCTTGACCGATACAGGCGTCGAGAAGTGACGTGACAGCACAAGTGGCGACGCCTTAGCGGCGGTCGCAGCAGACTTGACGGCGAAGGCGCTGGCCTGGACGCGTGGAATTTGACGCAGAATCTGGCGCTGCATGGCTCGGAGGTCGAAAGCTTTGGAGTGGCTTGCACGGAAGGAGGCAAATTACAGAATGAGCAGTTGAAAGTCAAGGCCGCGCTCAAGGTAACACGCGTTGAAGAGCGGAGCCTGTTTCCCTCAGCGAGGGCGTCGTGAATCACGCCAATGTTGTTGGTACCATTTGGCCACAGGTTCCAGACGGCACTGTTTCGGCTCTAATCAGACAAAACGCAAATACCTTCAACGTCGACTGGGAAAATAAAAGGGTCGGGGAGGGGGTCACTGACCAACAAACTGCATTGCGCGATGCAATCGTGCCATTGTAAACTCCAAATCGCAGTGTTGACAATTTTCATCGTTCATCTAAGCTAAGGAAAAAAAAATTCTTTGCCGGTGATCCTCGGTGGGTTATCATCTTCTTAGTGTTGTCTGCTACGGCCCGTAGCCTACGAAGAGGGCCGTGCATGTAGAACTGCAACGTCTCCTCACTCCAACGAAATCGCATCAGATCGCGACTTGCGCGTCGACGGATGCACTGCGAACGAAAACTTACCAGCTGTGATTGTAACGATGTTGAAGATTACTCCATCACTTTGATCACTGCAACTCGGATCGGTGGAATTTGTTACCGGTACATGTATTGAGTCTAAAACTGTATTTACTCCAGGGGCAATGCGTTCGCTATTGAATTGGAAACAATGCATAACTTCCTAAGTCCCAATTTGACTCATTCATTTGGCCAAACCAAAATATACTTCAAAATTGATGTTTCGTACGACTTGTGCTGCTACAGTTCCTTAATCAGGGCATCGAGTCCTCCGGACGCTTGATGATCACCGTCTTGTGCTCCAAGTAGTTGCGCAGACCCAGCTCACCGTTCTCGCGGCCGATACCCGAGTCCTTGAAGCCACCGAACGGAGTGTTCGAGTCAAACACGTCGTAGCAGTTCACGTACACCGTACCCGTGCGGAT